GCAATGTAGATACTATAAACAAGAAAATAATTCTAGAAAATGGTCTTAAGTTAAAGGAGAATCTCAGTGTAAATAAAAGGATCCATTCTGTAACAATCCTCAAAGAGGCAGATGTTATGAACTATTAAAGAGAATACATAGTTAAAGACAACCATGCAAGAAGGACATGAAATTTCCACCCTATTAAATACTAGAAAAGAAGACTTTGGGAGATCTAAGCTAAGAGAAATAAAGTCATACCATCAAGGCAGTTTCTGACCAAACTAACTTCTCATTAATGTTATAAGGAGACTAATTACAACCTCAAAAGGGCTAAAATAATTTCTAGCAAAGTTTTACACCCACAAAACTGGTATCAGAGACAATAGGTTCAGAAAAGGAATAGAAGTAAAATGTGAAAGATTCATTTATTCATTTACTCATTCCTGCAAGTATTTACTGAGCAACCAACCACATGCCAGGCATTTTTCTCCTTTTGGGATGAAACAGTTATGGATAAGGTTAGCTTGTAGCTGGTTTCCGGTAGCTCCAGGCTTATCTCCAGGGATCCTGGAAGTCTGGTAGTGACCCTGGCCAAGGTAGGGATGAAATGTACTAGCTATTCATTTTCTGCCATTTGAAGTTCAGAACTTCTCTGGTGGCACTCCATACCAGTGTGCTTACACTGTTTATTGAAAACGTGTAAATTGATGGCTTGCACCTCATTTAATCAGTGGGGTATAAAAGATCCTTTAGAAAACTTGCGCCTTGGCTCCTAAGGCTAAGTATCTTCAAAGCATCTCTGTTGTTCACAAGTGAAGATAAAGTGCTTCCTGTGTGACTGAGAAAGGGCCCTGGGCACCACATTGGAAGTTTGGATCAGTTTGTGTTTGCGTGTGCTTTCTTTTTCTTGCTGAAAGCAAGCCTTATGTCAGTTGTTGTTAGCTGCCACTGATTCCAATTCACAGTGACTCCATGTGGCTGTATCTGGGAAATCTTTGTGAGTCTTTTCAATTATCTGACCCTGTACAATTGTCACAGGAGCGAACAAAAGAGCTCTTGACCTTGTAGAGCATTCATTCTGATGGTGAAGGCAGAAAATAAGCAAAAGAAAGAAAGAAAATGTATAAATGCTATGGAGAGAAACAAAGCAGAAAAGGAGTTTCAGCAGCTCCAAACAGATGTGCCTTTCTGAGAAGGTGACATTTAAGAAAGACATAAGGAGTACAGAGACATGTAGACAGGTATCTGGGTGAAGCACTGCAGGCAGAGAAAACAAAAAGCAAAAGACTTCAAGAGGCAGAAAGCCAAGGACAGCAAGAAGTCTAACGTGGCTTGACGTAGAATGAATTAGGAGGAAAATAATAGGAAATGAGGTAAGAAGGTAATGGGTACAGAGCAGATAGGGTGGGTAAGGCATTTGGCTGCTAAGCAGAAGGTAGGTGATTCAAACCTACCAGCTGCTCCACAGGAGGAAGATGAGGCAATCTACTTATGTAAAGATTTACAGGTTGGAAACCCAATGGGGGTCACTATGAGTCAGAATCAACTCTGTAGCAAGAGTTTGGTTTTTTTTTCGGTCATGACTTTGACTTTTTAGTAGAATAAGATGGGAAGTCACTGGATAACAGAAGAGCGGTTTATTCAGAATTGAATTTAAAGAGATCTACCTGGAAACTATTCTAAAAACAGACTCTAGGTGGGCAGGGGTAGAACCAAGACCAGTTCTACTGCAACAGGCCAGGCAAGAGACCATGGTAACATCTACCAGGGAGGTAGTAGTGGTAGTTGTAAGTGGATGGATTCTGGATATACATGCAAGGTATAGGAGAAAGAGTGGAATCAAATATGGATGAATTAAAATAATTAAATGGATTCCAACTACCTACTGAAACATTCCAACTGAATGCTCTGTATTCCTCTCAAAAATAACTAAGCTTACCATCTTGCCTAAAAATGGGCCTGTTCTTCCCCCTATATTCTCTATCTTTAGAGCAAGTGACCTTTGCTCAATCTAGACACTTTACAGTCATGCTTACTGGTTCTTTCTCTTCTAGTGCCCACACCCACTGCCATTGTGTCAATTCTGACTCACAGTAACCCTATAGGAAAAGCAGAAATGCCCAACAGGCTTTCTAAAGCTGTAAATCTTTACAAAGCGAACTGCCTCATCTTCCTCCCATGGAGCGGTGGTGGGTTTAAACCCCCAAACTTTTGGTTAGCAGCTGAACGATTTAAACCTCTGTGCACCAGAGCTCCTTCTAGTGCCCATATTTAATCAATTGCCAAAGAGATTTCATCTTTCAAATATGTCCAACTCTTTCCATTTGCAAGATGTTCTCATCATTCAGATCCTCATCACTACTAGAACAGGGAAGGGAATAAAAAGGGAAATACTCACTGAGCACCTATATGTGCCAGGCAGCAGGCCACATGATTTATATTCACTGTTCTTCCATCAAAATCTTCCTAACTGATTTACATGACTCTAATCTTTCCAGATGCCAATATTATTTTCCAAAAGCACTTTCCAAACACAAATGTGACATGTCATTCTACTGCTTACAATCTTCAGTGACTCTGAAGAGTCACTCTATACATGGTGATCCCTCTGTCTAGAGATATTCTTATATCTTCATTCCTTTCACATGATTTCTTTATTAATATACATACATATATTTATCCACTAGCACCTACCTCAAGGAAATCCTTAGGGGCGTAAACAGGTCTGAAAAGGCTTAGATCTAAAATTAATGAGATACATTAAAACAAAATTTCAGTTAATATATGAAATCGTATTATAAATAAATGTTATTGATTCTTATTGATTCTGTGCAGATAGATTAATTCCAATATTTTTCTGAGTCTCAATTATTTGTCATCCATTGTGATAAGCACTGAGGACACAAAAATGAAAAAAGCCCCTCCCACTGACATCCAAGATGTTATAATTCTAGAAGAAATTAAGTCTTTCATTGATAAATTTACAATAGGTTATAACTGAATTAACAAAACAATGTCAGATATAATGTAAAAGTTCTATATGACAATTCTCAAAATACTTAGAATATAAACAATATATTCTTAAAAAATCCTTCTAGTTGTATCAAACTGTTCTCTCTTTTGAATTTCTATAACTGCTTCCTCGACTGTGGCATTTATTTCTTGCCCAAACCAATCTACTGCCATTGAGTCGATCCCAACTCATAGTGACCTTAAACGACAGAGTAGAACTGTCCCATAGGGTTTCCAAGGCTGCAAATCTTTAGGGAAGCATACTGCCTTACCTTTCTCCTGTAGATTGGCTGGTGGGTTTGGACTGCTGACTTTTTGGTTAGCAGCCAAATGCCTGACCACTGTGCTACCATCACTCAGCTGACTATAATTCTTTCTTCTTTTTGTTTTTTTTTTCCCAGCAGTGGTGGAGGAGGGGCGGTTAGGGGTTATATAAATGTAAATTAATGACATCTACTTATCACAGTAGGAGCTCTGGTAGCATAATGCCTAAGGCACTTGACTGCTAACCAGAAGGCTGGCGGTTCAAACCCACCAGCCACTCCTCGGAAGATAGATGGGGCAATGTACTCCCATAGTGATACTGCCTCAGAAACCCAAGGAGGGGTCGCTATAAGTCAGGTCTGACTCAATGGCACATAACAACAACAACAACTTATCACAGTTGTCACTCATTACAGGATTATAAGGTTTACTATATTTTAAACATGAAAATGAACCAAATAAATTCTTAAAAACATTTTAGAATCCCTGAAACTTATGTTTCACTACATTGCCTATCTTTAATATCTCCATGTAATTAAAGTCTGAAAAAAAGTACCTTAAGTATAAGAGTTTCAAAAATCTAATGCATAAATATTTTCTTTTATAAAAATTTATTAAAATGTTGATTTAAAAAAGGATAAATGACTAAAATACTCTCAAAACAATGGAGAACACAGACCCAAGTTAGGGATTTTTAAACTGCAGAGTAGTAGTTTACTCCAAGGACAGAGAGGATAGTACATTAGTGGAGGTAAAAGCTGCTATCCTTCTAAAAGAATTGTTAATTATGCTATTTTGGACCCATAATTGAGAAGACAATTCTTCTCCCACTACCACATTTTGAAAAATGTTCTTCATATACCTGGTTCATCTGTTCCCATTTCATTCCATTTATTGAGAAGTTCTTTCTGTTCTGCAACTGGCCTCTACAAAAGTAATAAGTAATTTTAAAATTGGTTTCATTTTATGGGGTTTAGCAATGTAGCTGAAAAATAAGAATAAATAACTTATCTAAATGTTTAAATAAGCTAACACAACAAAAGGGAAAAAAAATTCCATTATGCACAGTGAATTTGGGAG